ACATCCTAGGAAGACTCTGTGAGTTGGAGGGTATTTTACAAATAACAGTGAGGTCCCCAGTAGGGGAAGCAGCATCCTGGCACGATGGCTAATTTCATGTGTCTGCTCGCCAGGTGTTTGGCTGAGCTCCAGTCCAGGTGCATCTGCGACGGTGCTGCTGGATGATATTAGTGTTCAAATCCGTGCGTGGAGTGACACAGGCTGCCCTCCCATCTGGTCCCGTCCCATCTGTTGGAGGCCTGAAGAAAACAAAAGGTGGAGTAAGGGGATCGCATGCTCTCTCGGCCTGACTCTGAGCAGGGTCATGGGTATTCTCCTGCCCCTGGACTGGAATTTACTCCATTGGTGTTACTGGTTCTGAGGCTGTAGGACCCCAGCTAGAACTTACAGCAGCTGCCTTGCTCTTGGGCCTTCAGACCTGGACTAGAACTGGGTCTCCAGCTTGCAGATGGCAGGTCATGGGACTTCTCAGCTTTCTTCACTGTGAGCCAGTTCCTTGTAATAAATGCCTCTGTGTATGTGTGTGTGTGTGTGGGTGGGTGAGGGAACAGGGGGTCAGGGTTCCCCAGAGAACCAGAACCAGAGGGATGAAGACTTGTAGACACACACACACATACACGGTTCTGGTTCTCAGGGGAACCCTAACACCCCCGGTTGACCCAGATGGATCGTGAATGCTCATGGAGCATTGAATAGGAGTCGCACTTTTATCTGAAAGGAAAGCAACTCTTACAAAGGGGATTTGAACAATTCCCTTAGTGAGGAACCGTCCCTATTGATGCTAGAACCTTACTGAGATGCATTCCCACTGCACTGCGCAGACCTAGATATTCACTCCTCCATAACCCTGTCTCTGTCTGGCTGCTACAAGGGGGTCAGTCTCCACTGGCCCTTGCCAAATACACACTAAAGAAATAAAGAAATCTCTCAGTTATTGGAACCATGAGTGTGAAACCCGGGATAAGGTACGTCAGTAGAGCAGATACACATTTCACTGCTCTGAACTCAGTGAGAAAATATAACTATTTTTCTAGAACTATACTTAATTTGCCTTGAACTCCACTTTGTCCAATATAGGAAACGGAATTCAATCATGTTCAGATAAATAAGACCAAGAGTGTTGTGCCTTGAATTCCTTTGGGTTTTATTATTATTTTTTAAAATTTTGTTTATTTGAGAGAGAGCATGAGCAGCGGGGACAGCTTAGGGAGAGGGAGAAACAGACTCCCCGCTGAGCAGGGAGCCCAAAGAGGGACTCGATCCCAGAGCCCCGGGATCACGACCTGAGCCCAAGGCAGACGCTCAACCACTGAGTGCCCCCGGGCGCCCCTCCCTTGGGTTTTGAATTGATCCGATTGAAGGCCTTCCTGGTGCTGTGGTCTCTCCCGAGGTGTAGGTGTGGCCGCAGGCAGGTTGGGTGAGCTGAGGGGCAAGGAGTGCACTGTCCAGACGGGCTACTGTGCACTGTCCTCACTGGTCCTTGACCTTGGCCACCAGACCTCAGGGATGTCCCTGAGCCAGCCTGTGTTTCTGTGAGTCGGTTTCCCGGAGGCAGGGTGACCCCATTTACCCCCCAAGCACACATCACCTGTTGCCATCCACCAACAGAGCAGAGGTGTGGGCTCAGTCGGCCTGGCCGCCTCGGGCCGCCTTGTCCACTGCTGTCCCCTTGCTGGGCTGGATGGGAGGAGACTGCCCCCTGCGAGGTGTGCTGCCCTCCCCAAACTCTGGCGGAAAAGCAGGTACCAAGATCCTCTTGATCAGATTCCCATCCCCTGGCCTCCAGGCCGCGGCGCGTCCACACCTCACCTGCTCTTTGCCGCGTTCCTTCCTTCCCCGGCCCAGGCGCCCCTTAGAGCTGGGCGCGGAAAACCTGAACATACCTTCTCTCAGGAGACTGTCAGTGTGTAAATAGCCGTAAGAGCTTCGTTCCCTCAAGATGTCAGCTACTATGAATTTTTGAAACCACTTGCCTGTGTTCGTCGAGAGGCACCCCTTGTGGACAGATGCTGGAAAAGGCGTCTTTCAGGACGCTGAGCGTGATGCTTGTGCAGGAGGCTGGCCCCTGCCTAGCCTGCTTTCTCACGTTCTAGACACTTGGCCTGTTTTTCATATTCCTCATCTCACAACGGTGGTGGTAACATGCGTCCTCCAGGGTTGTTGTGAACCTTGAACTGGCTGGCGTGCTTGGCAAACATAAATGCTCACTATATGCTCACACCGGTCCCCTGCATGTGGGCGCAGCGGGGCACTGCCCCCTGTCCCTGCAGTAGGGGTCAGAGGGAACGCACTCAGGATGGAGAAATTACTGAGAACACGATTCTCAAACACATAGGTAACATCTGAGCTTCCACGGAGGAGCAGATGAAGCAGAGAACAGAGGGCAAGGTTAGGGACGTGGGGTTCTCAAAGGACAGATGTACGTTCATGTGACTAAGCCACAGGAGACAGAGAAGTGGCAGGAGAGGTGCCCACTGTGCCAACTCATGAACCTTAAACAATTTATTCTGTATGATATAGGGGCCCAGCAGAAGGTCACTGGCGAATTTCTAGGGGGAGGATTGTCAAGAATAAATAGGCTCCTAAGCCAGTTTACATTTTTAGAAACTTAAAAAAAGACTTGATTGGGCATAAGGAGGCAAGACAGCTTTCTACAAATAATTGAAAGTTTGTCAGATAAAAGAGGAAGCGGACTTATCCATGTGTTGCAAGCCGGTATCTTGGAATAGAAATGATAATGCTACAGACTTCAGGACGACTTCAGATAGAACTTTCCGGCAACTAGAGCTGTCAAACAATGGCCTGGCTTGCATTACGGTAGCATGTCCTCCATGCCTGGAGTATGAAGCCGGAAGACCATCTATCGGTAATGGCAAGTAAGAGACCTTGTGTTGCTTAGGCCTAACAGTGCCAGTGAACCAGTGCCCTAACCTAACAGTCATGATTTCACATGGGCAACACCCACTCAGAAGGCTTAGGAAATGGGGGTGTTGATGCATACTTTTTTTTTTTAGTTAATGCAAGGATAAGGAGGGAAATGTTATTTTGATATGTATTAATGGTGTTCATGTGTCTCAGTCTTTCCATATGCTAAAATGTTTGCAGTTTTTTCCCTAGTGACTTAGCATTGACTGGTACAGCAAGACTTTTAATTAGTGATGCAGGCATCAGAAAGGCTGGATATCATCTGATCATGTGTAATTACCAAGTAGAAATTTGGAGGCTTAGGTTTCCAATCAATTCCTCATTTTTCTTTTCTGGTCAGTTTCCTTTCTCTCCTCAACACCATTCAAGGAAAAGTCTAAATCTGTGTGCAATGGGTGGGAGGCTTCCTTTTTATTTTTGACGGACTGGAGATGGGTGTGGAGGGAGGAGGAAAAGCACAGAGTTCACTGAAGACACTTCTGTTCGGTTTCTGTGGCATCAGGCTTTGATATTCTTGCGAGAACAGCAGCCAAGTGTGCATTCTGTGGAAAATGTTTACAAATCGTGCTGTTGCATGTGTGAGATTATGCACATGAGAGACACACAGAGAGAGGCAGAGACACAGGCAGAGGGAGAAGCAGGCTCCCTCCAGGGATCCCAGGACCCAGGATCACACCCGGAGCTGAAAGCGGATGCTCGGGACACCTGGGTGGCTTAATGGTTGAGCGTCTGCCTTTGGCTCAGGGTGTGATCCCGGGTCCTGGGATCGAGTCCTGCATCAGGCTCCCTGCAGGGAGCCTGTTTCTCCCTCTGCCTGTGTCTCTGCCTTTCTCTCTCTGTCTCTCATGAATAAATAAATAAAATTTTTTAAAAAAGAATAACTTAAAAAAAATGAAGGCAGATGCTTGACCACTGAGCCTCCTAGGCATCCACATGTTGCTTTTTAAGGGTTCCTTTTGCTTCAGGATGCAGATACAATGGCGAATTGTCCCTCTCCTCAAAGCTCTGGGGTTACAGAAGGTTGATAGAAAAATCAGACATGTGCATCATTAAGAATTCAAACTGAGACCCGCTCTACAGAGAACCAATCTGCAACTTGAGTTATCAAATAAGTTCATGGATATATTAATTCATGAAATTCACTTTAACATAGTCAATATTTTATTTGGTATCACAGGAAATGAATATTTAACAAAAATCCTGTCTATGACACATACAGTGCTGTGCACTCCGAGGGCATTCCATCAGTAAGAGTTTTGTGGTGCAGGAGAATTCTATGTTAAGGGCTTCCTACCCTTGTGTCTAATTAACAAGACTGTGGACTCTCAGATTTAACAATGTAACAGGTCTTTATTCCAGGGAACATTTATTTTGTGTACTCCCGAAGTTAGTTCTAATACCTTTATGATGGGGGGGGGGGGAGGTTCTGCATTTCTAACTTCTTGGTCTTCAGTGTTTATCGTTTGCCCGCTTACCCGATGGTGAGCAGGGGAGAGCCAAATAAACATAACTTCTTCAAGCAGAGTTGCCAAGATAAAGCCATGAGTATATGTATCATGGTATACAGATTGCGTGAGGGTTAGCCTAGAACATTTCTACTATAGTAGAGAGAATCCCAACACTGACACACCCAAGCATGCACACAACGGGAGTCCTTCCCCGCTCTTAGCCAAGGGAGTCTGCTGTTCCGAGGGTCCCTGGAGACCAGGGAAGCTATTTCAGGAGTCTTAGGGTCGGCCCTCTGGGCCATGAGCTTGGTAATCCGAAGCACTCGCTCTAAAAGACCACTCATTTCTCAGTCTTTGAACCTTTAAAATTATACAACGGAGTTAATAAATCACGTCACACGATTTAACATCTTAGGTCATGTCATCCTTTCTGCTAGGAAATGGCTGAAGCAGACCCACCACATCACACCAACGTGAACTTGGGGTCTTCTACGCAGACGAGGCCTGGAGCAAACACTGTGATGGAGCCTCTGCACCTCCTCCTCAACATGCAAAACATCTGTTGGCTTCCTCGCAAATGAGAGCAAATGATAAACGTGAAAAATGATATTTTAAAAACTCTGTATTCAATTATTCACACCAAAGGATATCCATTAAAATTATGAACATCTCTACATATATTTCATGTATCATACATATATATATACTTTGTGTGTATAGTTACATATCGACAAAAGATTTCTTGCTGCTCTAAGCATGTAAGTAAAACAAAGCTAGATTTTGCAGTTTAACACCCATATATGCATATATACTGGCGGTTTGAATTATGAATTTATTTACAACTTGCCTCGGTTATAATAAATGATTACTGTTCTATTATACAAACATAACGGTAAAGGTTTCTTTTAAATACAAAGACTGCAAATGAATACATGAAAAATTACACACATGTACAATATTTATAATTTATAAATGCAAAGTTAAGACCTCTTTAAATTATTGCACTTGTGCATTTTACAAAGATCTTTATATGTCATACATATAAAATAATTGTTTTAAGTTTGCTAACTCATCAACTATAATGAAGTCGGATACTGTTCACTTGGAATTCTTTCTCCTAAAAGAGAGCCCACTAAAACTTTGGATACAAATCCATCAACTCTACAGATTTGTCTGTGCAGCGCATTGTATTTTGGACAGCTTGTAACCCATCTTACACCTTAGCAGTTGGGGTCAGCGAGATCACTGCTGGCAAAAGCGTGGGACCTGACCTACGTGGGGATGTAGGATCTCTTTTGCTCATACGGACTTGAAAAGAAAGCCACCTTTTTTTTTTTCAGAAAGATTCAAGATGCTGCGTGTCTATAAATTTTGGTAACTTTCACAGTGTTTTGGGCAAGCACATGATTTCACATGGGTCACTTCGTTGGGTCTGGTGAATGAGGGGCACCTTCCACAGATAAATCTATTGTACTTTCAACGTGTGCATCAAATCCGTACGTAGGACACACGCCATCCAACAGATTATATGGGAAATAATATTCCTGTATGGCATCTACATAGGCTGGTGGAGATAGGGCATAGGACTGGGTATTATCCAAGTGGGTGAAGGAAAACCAAAGCTGCAACACCCATGGTCTGATGATGTTTCCAGTGAGCTGGGACCAGATGATACACCTCGCAACCTCAACTTGCAGCAGGAATAAAGACTTGCCATTTACACTTCTGCAAATACAAAGTACCTCAAACTATCAGCTGACACCTGACACGTGTAAACTCACTTCTCTATGTGACACATTGGACTCAGCTCTTAACCCCGGGCTGGGTCTTTGGGCTACATGAACCCACACCCCAGCAGGGGCACACTCGGGTCTGCTCGTTCAGTTACCAAATCCTCACACGCCCTGTAGAGTGAGGTCCAACCATGCATGAGGCAAATAGCACTGCTGTCCACTGTGGGTCCAGAGGCCAGAAACTTAGCAGTTGAGTGAAGACAGTAATGCTTCTTTGAATTTGAAATACTGTTTCTTGGGAAACATTAATGTCTTTCTCTTTATCCCACCCTTTTAATTTAGAACCAGAACACCACTGAAATTTTTCTTTTTTTGCTATTTTTACCATCCCAGAAATCCATCTAATGCTTCAGACAACCAAAATATCCAGTACAAAAAAGGATGAAAACCAAAGAGTGTAAAGTATTGCATTGGGAATCACTAATTTAAACTTAAGATTAGGAGTTTAAAGAAATGGGCAGGAATGTGTATCAAGGTAGATACTTATGCAAAGGTAAAACAGAAGGGCCATGCGCTGCTGACAAGTGGGGGACAGGGTGAGGGGGGCAAGACCTGACAGCTCATTTACATTTTACAGAGATTTTAAAGTCAGGCAATAAAAGGGAATATATTAATGTGACTAAATGAATAAGTCTTTAAAGAATTAAACCCTAAATAAAATCAGCAAAAGCAAACACATGTCTGAAATAAAGGTTAGAAGTGATTTTCAAAATCTAAATCATGCATATGTACCTGAAACCCAATAAAATCACACCATAACTGTGTCACAGTTCTTGGAAATTTTGGCAAAAAAAGACCGCCTCTGAACCGTTCATTGGTTATAGTTAGTCATCAGGGTGTGTGTGAATGACATCAAATAAAGGATAGACGTCTGATCAGGAGAGAATGGTCCTATCCATTCAGTTTGATCCAATTAATCATGAATATATCCCCTTTGTTTTTAATTACAGTTAAGCAAGAAAGGCAAAATAATAAATATGCAAATGAAGAAGTAAAATTGCAGTATTTAAAATAAAGGCACAGAGCAAGGCATGGTGAGTAATTTAGTCCTATTAAAGCTCAAACCTTGAGTTAAAAGACCAGAAACATAACATTCAAACTAAATCTACTAAAAAATCCAGGTAGCTGAGGATTTATCTACATGTATCACATACAAATGTATCTAGTGTGCCTAAACATACCAGTAAAGAAAAAGTCAGTGAGACTGTACAAAAAAAAAAAAATCTAAAGCTATCTAGAAAGCATGCTAAGAAGAGGAAACCTACACTGAACAAATCCAGTTTCAAAGTAGTCCTGTTTCTGATGCTGTGAGAACAAGTCATCTTACGCAGTACTGTAGCATCTGCACAGATGTTTTCCCTATGAGGGAAGAGTCCAGAATGAGGACAGGAATGCTAACTAATTCAGCATGGTCTCACTTTCAGCACCGCTTTCTGACGAGCCCTGGAGAGATAACGGAGGCTGGGAAGTGGATCTCAATCCTGCCCCAGGAAGAGAATTACTGCCGTTTTTGAGAATTACTTTCCATATCTGTTTTATTTTTTCTAATTAATTAAACCACAGTCAACTATTAATTAATAAGATGTCTGAAACTTTTAGAATTTTGTTCCGTTGCCTAAGTTTGACATTTCATGATGGAGTAATTGCACCTGACAATAAAACTGTCCATTGTAAATTGGCACAACCAATTAAAACTTCCACGAATGGAACATTCTCCATATACTCACGGCTGGCTACCAAATTTATTCTGAACAGGGAAATTTCGATCCAATGTAAAAACCACTCTTAATGAGAAACTAGTCAAAACTTTGGGTAATAAAAGCCATCTGCCCTTTCAAGAAAAGATCTGGGAAAAAGATGAGCACAGAACTCAAAAAGTTTGTCTGCTAACTACATCTGCCCCAATATAAAAGTGCTCCTAACTGCATTTTTTCCAAAAGCAGATTATCGACTAAATGTCACTGCATCTCGGACCCATTTTAGGTAAATGCATGATTCCTAAGTAGATCTTAAGAATACTAACAGTTTACATTAGAATACAGTCCTTCCTTTGTTCAAACTTTGCTTTGATTCTGACAATATTTCAAGAGAAATCAACCAACCAGTCAATCCATGTACATTTCTTTGGAAAACTGTTCAAAGAAAATGTAATACAATACACTTGGTCTAATAAAAATAAGACAATTTTCTGTAATAACTTTAGAAAAGCAATATTAAAAAGCAAAAATAGCCGTAAGATTTCCTCCCCATGTGACTGTTTTCCTTATCAACAAGCAAAATCCATGCATTAAGATCCTTTTAATTAAACGATCTTTGATGGTATTTCCTGCCCACTGCCTTGCAATTTAGTTGAGTCCCATTACATGACTACACTAACTTTGGTAGGTCCAGTTTCATAAATCTGAGTGCAGAAAAACATGCAACATTTTAGAGTTTAATTCAATAAATGCACTAACATGGAAAAGGGCATTTTCTACCCAGCTCTTCATCAAATAATATACATTTTCCAACACACAAAAAAAATCAGGTTTTGAAGAATGGGGCCAGTTTTTACTTTTTATAGATGTGTTTGCATCTCTATCCCTTACATGTATATACTTTCGTATTTGTGTGTGTGTGTGTGTGTGTATGTGTGTGTCTAGCCACCATGGTATTTCTCTCTTTAGATACTTCATTTTACTTCCTATTGTATAATTACAATAGCAAATGGAGGGCCATGTAGGGAAGATGGCAACTTCCAGAAGCCCATAGGGAAATTGAACACATAGTGTTAATTTTAAAATAAGAACAATGTTTATATATAGCTAACTCTGCTACAACTTAAATCATGTTGTAGGAACATCTGATTTCTTTTTGCAAAAACCATATGAATAACAATGTGTACAGTATTGAATATGTAAAAGAATTATTTTAAAAATTCATTTTATCAAAAGTACTATTCCAGTTTCCTGCCACGTGAATAGTAGGTAGATAAGCGGTTTGTTATGGATCTGCCTACCACTCCTTGAGCCTCTGATTCTCTAATTCCTTCAGGTCAGGACTAACCACAGCTCTGGGGGTGACCCTGCCTTTATGCTAAAAATCTTGACAGCTGTAATATGAACCCGAAGTGACTGGCTTGTAATCCTTGTAGGAGGGGGTCTGGACTACTACTTTGGTGTATTTTTTTTCAAAACACACTGACATTGTTGAGTAATTTTAGTCCACCAAAAATTATACAGAAGACTCTACACACTACAGGTTTGCATGTAGATACTGGATACTTGAGCAGAGAAGGGAGCAAGAAATGTGCCCCGATGTGCCTGTACGGGGCTCCTCTACTCCCCCATTGTGGACGGAGAGCTCTTGAAATGTGACCACTGAGCACACAGCAGGGAATGAACCGGGGTTGGGCGCAGCAGATCAAAGTAAAAATTACACAAAACTTAAATTTTATGGTTTAATTTGACTTTGAGAGAAATGTATGGTATTTTAATTAAATAATTCATAGAATAAACCTCTCATTTTGAATGTGAGTCTAAATTCTTGCAATGACACCAAGTGAAAATATAAAGAAATCATTATTGACATTCACATTTGACATCCCGTAAGACCTATCTGTTAAGAAAAATTCATATGCCTTGCTTTTGTTTTGTTCTCTAGGCAAAGGGTTTAGAAAATTTGCCTACAATGAAGAAAAAAATAAAAAATATTCTTCGACATTTTTTGAATTGAGTTCTGAGATTTTTTATGTTTATCTGAATCTCCTCTCAAGAGGATAGAAAGTCTTACCTCACTTAGTGTTAAATCTATTAATCCAAGCCCTTTAGTATAAACTTAAAGAATACACTTGTCATCCACCTAACTTTTAATTCATGAGGCTCTGAAACAAGAATCTATTTTCCATCACTGATTGCAGAAAGACACTTCTTACTCTGTCCCCTCAGTGACACCTGTCCTGAGGCTGTCAGCTACAATTCACGCTAATTACGAGTAGGTCACACACGAACATTCACAATAGTAACGTGTAAAAATTCCTATTTATAACCAACAACATCAAAGCAACATTGGTGTTAAAGCCAGAGTACAACATCATAATAGTACCATTTCAACCCCTCACTGGAAAGCTACAACGGGAAAGGACCCCCTTCTGAATCATTCCTGTCCATTCCCAGTAAGGCCCAGCAATGTGAGAAAAGGCCAGTCCTCGAGTCACATGGAGTCCCCTGGACAGCTGACTTGTGGTCACGGGGTAGTCCTGGTTGATCACTGTCTCTGACGCGTGACAGATGAGACTGGTGGGGAGTCATCTGCTTACACGTTTCCTGGGTGTCACCTTCTTCTAGAGGCTTACATCCTCATTACCAGGTGTAGGTTCCCCCCACAAAAATAAAAGGAAGAAAAGTCAAAGAAGCAGGACGAGCATCTGCAGGTGGGACAGCTCATCGGGTGGCAATCAGTCATCGATCTTCACAGGCAGCTTCTCCGAGGGCCCATGGGCCCCTGGCGGCGATGAGATCCACACTGCGCTCTCCTCCCCTCGGATCACCTTCTCCCACTGGCTGAGGTTATTCCTGAGGATAAAAGATGTGGGGACAGGTGATGTTTCAAAAGGATTTCCGGATTCCATCTGAAGAATTAAGCACACCACCCTGAGGTGTAATCACATATGATGGCCACGGTGCCCTTCTGATGCCGACAATGACCAGCCTGCCAAGGCCGGGTGGCATCCCTGCATGTCTCCCTGACGTGGCTGGGCAGCTCGGCCTCCAGCACAGCAAGACTTAGGGGATACTTTGTCCCACGAACTCTGGACCTACCATCTCAGAACCAGTGAGAAAGTCAGATCTGGAAAGGGGCATGGGCTGCAGGGTGTCCTAGCCAGGAGCTCCACGGTAAATGGAAAGGGAGGGAGGCCCGGGCAGCGAGAATGTTCGGCAACAGCACCGACAGCCAGGACTTCACACTCTGCAGTGGACAGCGGGCTTGGGGTCCCTGCCACATCATACCCGAAACTGGGGGCAGCCTTATTTTGAACACTGAGTCTTACATTAAAAAGTCACCATAAGTTACATGTGGTACCAATGTTAGGAACTTCTTTGTGGCAGCAAAGCCATCTTTGTGTCTCAGGCAGGCCACCCGTGCCCCTGTCCATGGGTCTTTCTCCCTCCACACCTGCAATTCATCTACTGTAGGTGTCCCTATCTCCTTGAATGGTGTCGGCACCCCCTCACCCCACGGGGTGGCCCAGGTGCAGATCTGATCGACACCTCCCACCTTGCTGTCTTATATACAAAGCCCAAATCAGAAGGGAACCTTGCACTGACAAACACAGAATTCATACAAAGCACACACATGCAAAGACACCTCTGGACAAAAGAAATCTCTGAAATATAACCTGAAAAATGTAGCACTTTCAGCTTTTGTACCTTATCATCACGAACCCAAAGAGATTTTTTGATATATTGGAAAAAAGATATACACTAATTTTGCCATGTTTCTGTGGACACCGACGATACATAAATGTTTTAAGTGTTAATAAGATTAAAATGGCATTGAAGAGATTCTGTGGTTCAGCCAAGTGCAATGAAGCAAGAATGCATCAATGCCGCTGAGACAGCTTTGAAAATACTGATCCCAATGGTTGATAATAATGACAGCAGGCATTCATTCTGCTGGTTCTAGATTAACATAAAATACAGATAATTTTTGGATAGGAAAAGACTTTTGATTGCTACTTAGAATTTTTTTTTTAATAACATGGATTTTGATTGATATTCCCTTTTCTCTTTTGTGGGGAACTGACTTTGCCAACCTCATTCCATCAGGAAGGAGTCTCAGCTCATACTCCGTATTGTCCCTATGGCTCAGCCCTTATGTAATAAGAGAATATTTTAATAAACTGTTGATCAAGGTCAGTGATGGCTCAACAAAATAAGCTGGGATGTTATATTTGCCTCCCCAAGAGCAGAGAAGAAACAGAAACCACCACTTATGTAGGAAAAAACAGGATCTTTTTTTTTTTTTAACTTCTTACTTGTTGGTTTTGTTTCTTTGTTTTCCTTAATATAATTCGTTCATGATATGAGTTTCAACAGCAGAAAGTAGGAATGTATACTAATGCCTCTGGTTCTGTTTAAACCAGGAGTCTGTCCTCTGCTCCTCAGTGTGCCTACCCCAGCCCCCAAAGATACTCCATGGCTAGCTAAATAGTTAGAAAAATCAGTGCGACACCAACTCTCTTGCAAAAAATCAACAGGAACGGCTGCTCTGCTCATTGTCCTCTGACTTCCTCAGAGGAATTTCTTTTCAAAGTAAAATGAAAATCTTAAAAAAAAAAAAATCCCATGTTCTTAGGTGAGTTCATCCCTCATTAGCAATAAGGGAAGGATGCAGAAGAGTCTGAAGCAGAGACAATGACAGATGACTTACATCTCTTTGAGGAAGAAAATAAAACTCCCAGAGAAAGAAGATCACAGTCAAGCCTCCTCCTCCTCATCTATACAAGAAACTGTAGGATTCAGCGGAGCCTCTTTCTAACAAGTAGCCCTGAACACACATCAGTCCTAGCTTTTAAAAACCGTATTGGGGCATGGATCCCTGAGTCCTAACAAAACCCAAACCCAATGCCTTCTTGCTCCTTTTTGGTGAATGAAGGACTTTATGAATACTCTTAACATATATTTGTTACCTAGGCAAACACACGGCCTATAAAATTAGCTTTATTGCAAACTGTAGATAAGACATAGCACACACATTGAAGAAAAATTGAGAAAAATTCTATATGGAGTCTTTCTTTTAAATCACAGCCCAGCTTGAGCTGTGGTACCTACCTGCATGCTTTGAGGAGAGGCTCTGTGGGCGGGAAGATCTGGGTGAGGGTGGTGTAGCAGGGGATGGCCACAGCGTTGTAGAAGCCCAGCTGCCCCAGCAGAGCCACGCATAGGAAGACAAAAAAGTGCATGTTAGCCATTCTAGTAAGCACTCCATCTCTCAACTGAAGCTTCTATTTCTCAAGCTAACTATAAAATTAAATGTCCTAGTTTTGCTCCATGATATCTGGGCTCAATGAACACTGCTGCAGAGTGCATTTAAAAATGTCTTAAAATATGTCCTCAAAATCACACACATAAAAGGAAGTTAATCCAAAACCCAGTTCAATATTCAATGAGATTCCATTTATAGATCAATCAAGTTAAAATTCAAGTACAGTTCTTGTCGCTGATCAAAGTTTTCTACCATAGACGTTTCAAAGTCAAACCTGCTATTCTGCTACATGGGGGCCTCTTCTCCCACTTAATATTTGGGAATCAGTGCAGGGTGTTCTGTGGAGTTGCTACCCTTGGCTGTTGGTGCCCCATTTCATCTCCCGAGGCTTTCTTCACCCACCTCCCTTTTTCTGACCTACAACAAATCTCACTGACTGTATCAAGGTTCTTGCATGTTACAGTTCTTTTAATAGGCCCTACTTCACAGTGTTTAATCTGTGATACTTCAGAAAAATATATTAAATGGCACTTTATTAGGAATTTCAGGCCACAGTACATATAAATGCTGCTGGCCCAGACTGGCCTACGGAAGGCCAGATACAAGATGTCAGCAGAGAATGCAGATGGTCTAGCTGCAGATAATTGCCCAGGTGGCTGACAATGTGCACAAGATATTACTGGCTCTTTGCATGAGGTGACCCCCAAATCAGGGCTTACCTTTTTCTCTAAAAAACTGAACTTCAGTGAGATGCACCAAGAATGGATTCTACTGGGTCCCTTTCTGCTATTGTAAAGTCTGTCATCAGAGTAACATTACTAGAATAATGCCTTTGCACTACTATCTTTAACTTAGTAACTCACACAGAGGCTTTTCTTATTTTAGTGCTTTAGCAGATGTCATGGAGCAGAAGATCTCAAAAAAGAAATATTGGAAGGTAGAGCATTTTATTGTCATGGCAAAGAATAATTTAATGGTAATCACAATTCAGAAGCAATACAGTTGGTACAATACTAGTCGATCATAGAGATATTTTATTTAAAACTCTCTCATGCTATAAATGGATCTGCAATTTGGGCAAAAAACCAAACTATTGTCTTAAATAAAATGGCGCTAGAACACAGCCCATTCTTGGATAGCACTTTCAGCTATCCTATGCATTCTGTTGGGATGACAGCTTAACTATCAAGAAATAACTTTGTTGGATCTTTATCTGAGGCCACATGGCAAGGTAAGTTTCAAAGGAAATAGCAAATCAAATATGCAGTGTTGAAAGAAAGAGTAACTAAAGAAAACAGAGGTGAATGTTGATATAATCACACAGTGGGACAGGACCTTTACAATATGACATGAAAAGCAGACACCAGACAGGGAAGGCGGTTTCTCTGTGAGAACATATATGGGAGAGTTTCATAAACAATAATAAAAAAAAAACCTAAACTGCAAAATACACATACGAACGGGTATATCAGGTCAGGCATGTTGGTGCATGTTCAACAGAGAAGGAACTGTGAGCACCGGATCAGACACAGCGGCTAAAGACACGAGCATACCGTGTAGTGAGGACCATGAGGATGAGAAGACCACATAGTCTTTATCTCTGCTGACATCTTTGAAAAACTGTGGACTGGCCTCAACTTTGGTATTAATGGTGAATAGACTGACTTTAAATAAAGTAGGAAAGTAGGAACACTTGAGAACTTATCCAAAAACCACCATCCTGTGAGTTTTCTGAAATGTTTTCTTTTCTTTTCTTTTTTTTTTAAGATTTTATTTATTTATTCATGAGATACACAGAGAGAGGGAGAGAGAGGGAGAGACACAGGCAGAGGAAGAAGCAGGCTCCATGCAGGGATCCTGATGTGGGACTTGATCTCGGGTCTCCAGGATCATGCCCTGGGCTGAAGGTAGGCACTAAACCGCTGAGCTACCCAGGGATCCCCCTGAAATGTTTTCTAAACAAAATTCTATATTATAATTATTTGTCTATAGCTAACTTCCCTATTATGGCATTAGAAGATTGGTAGTTTAAAAAGACAATAATCTGAGAAATAGATTGTGCCACATGTGCACAATGCAGAACTGACAAGGCCTAAGAGCTGTCAAAACATCAAAAAAGTGACATAAATTATGTGGTAAAACCTGAAAAAAACAATAATTAATGTCAACTGATGGTAACACAACATTCAAAATGTACTAAAACACTCTGTATTATTTGTTAGGAAAAGTGGGCCTGATCAAAATCTATAATGTTACTCTCCAAAAAGCACCTTTGCACATTCACTAACAAAAGATTTTCTGCTTGTTAAAAATATTAACAATTCGGGCAGCCTGGGTGGCTCAGGGGTTTAGCGCCGCCTTCGGCACAGGGCGTGATCCTGGAGTCCCGGGATCGAGTCCCACATCGGGCTCCCTGCATGGAGCCTGTTTCTCCCTCTGCCTCTCTCTCTGTGTGTGTCTCTCATTAATTAATAAATAAATAAAATCTTTAAAAAAATATTAACAATTCAAACTCATCCATCCCTCCATTTCAAGCCATCCATTACCACGATTCCATCTGTGGAAAGAACTGATGGCAAGGGTAGTTGTGGCTTCTTCAAACTCAACTACAATTTCCTAATCCTGGGTTCTCCAACACATCGTATGTATGATTTTATGACCGCCTTACATGGTCTGACTTTATAAGAGAATTCATACCTGGCCTTGTGGGACTTCGTCCTTCTTGTCTCTGTCCATCATGGGGATAGGCTGAATTCCCAACTTCTTCATTTCATCACCCTAAGATAAACAAGTGAAAATCAAGCTTTCTCAATGTATAAACAGTTACGAAATCTTGGCATTAATGAGTTGCTCCTTTTATTCGATACTTGTCTTCACAATGGATGTTTCTGGCTATTGACCCGAACAGATGTCAGAACAATAAAAACCTAACATATTATTGTTTGGCTTTTATCCTGAGGTTATTCTCAACTGAATTATGCACTGATCTGAAATGCACTCATCTCTCCTGGTTTCATGGTGCAGAAGTTAGTAAAAGTTATAACGAGAGGAGACACAGATAATAGTGAGGAGGAATGACAAGAACAAGGTATGGGATAACCTCAAGGCCTCTTTCTTACTTATTTTTCAAAGGAATTTTCACACATGCTGAACTGGATGAAGCAAGGGCTTAGAGGGAAATACTGTATGTCAAGAATAAACTATAGCGTGCTAGACGTGCTAGTAAAGATACAGTATAATTGGCTACACATCATCCTAAGGGTTGTAGTCACAGATGCTTATTAAAGATTTTCTATTTTGCACGCTCTGGGATAAGTAACGTAAATATTATTTCATTCAATCTTCATGAAATACTGTAAGTTACATGTTCTTATCCCTAGTTTATAGATTTTAAAAATTATCTTCCTCTTTTTAGTTAAAAATCTTCTTTCTTAACATACCCCAACATTTTCCTTACTACCTCAATTTTCCCTCATGTTTCTTAATTACTCAACTATTTTAAATTATTTCACAATCATGCTTATTTTCAGGAATCAGAAGGTAGGGTCCAAAAACAAATTATTAAAGCCCTCACTGAGGATGTTATTGTATAGGACAAAGGTACTGAGTACAGCTTTGTTCTAGTATTATTACTTTAAATATTAACTCAGTGGTTCTCAACCTTTTTCCTTTCCTTTTCTAAGTGAGTGACACTAACTGGGCCCCTTGCTCAAAGATATTACTTACAGTCCAGTCAGTAAAAAGAATGTGAATAAACAATGACTGGCCAATGTAGAGTACTCTCAAACAAGGATCGGTGCTACACAGGAGAACCCAGGAGGACTGTGGGGTGTGTGTTCCAGGAGCAAGTGGCCCAGAGGTCTGCAGAAGGCAGGATGGGGGAGAGCGGAGCTGACCTGGATGGCCGCCCATGGGAGGGACTCGACTCAGGGGATCCAAGGGGCTGAGACGTGGGATGGCAGAGAGAGGCAGTGGGTTCATGTGGGCTCAAGTTCGTGATTTCTGTCCTCATCCCAATAGCATGGAGAGCCAGACTGGGAAGAGTGCTCACACAGTCAGAATCAGCCTTCCCTAGCCTGCATGTGAGATGACTAAGGAACAGAGAGGAGTCAGCAAGCTGGCCAGAGGTTTGATCCCTGGTGCTCCAGCAGGACTTCCATCTCCAGCCCCAGAACATCAAAGCCCACACTCTGTGTGGCTGCTCATCTAACTGTGCAGGAAGAGGCAGCCAGCCCGGTCAGAAGGCACCAGGGATTCAGGCACCAGGAGGCCGAGTCCTGTGGAGAGGAGAGATGGGGAGAGGCGGGACCTAGTGCACAACTGGGAGGTTGCTGCCAAGACACAGTGACAACCTCTGCTTCCTCCCCAGGACCTCATATTCCTGGAAGATGGCACCCTGGGCAACTTTGGGAGCTTAATCTTTGTGGACAGTTTAATCAGTGCAGAATAGAGAGGGGAGAAAACCTACCTAACTTACCTGTCACGTTTTGATTCATATTTTAGAATACAAATATAGGTATTAAAGTATGAATTATATCAGTTAAATAAAATTATTTGCAAAACAATAGGGTAGCTTCAGACCAGTTTTCCTCATGTGATATTTACAGAATGTACTGGAGGTTACCATTTTTAGACATGTCTGCAAATTAAGTTGACTGATAGTCAAGTCAGAGATTACAGGTCAGACACATACACCTAAAGCAACCTTCCTAATGGAGTCTGATAGTAATGAGGTTCTGGGATGCACACTACAAAACAGGAAAAAAGCACACAGGAGTATGCCTGCACAACATGTTAGGCGTTCTGGAGAAGTCACACCGTGAGTATAACCAACTCCAGGCCTCTGGTCCTCATCCAATGAAAGTTTTTGCCTTTGCCATCATGAAAAAAATTAACGTTATAAATCATTTCTACTACACTATCAACTGAATGATTGACTGGTTTTTACTTCTTACATCCCTTCTTTTATATGGGTGAGGTTGAATGGTTCAAATCAGCAACGACCAAACTCTTTGCCCTCCGAATGTCCTTTTAACGTCCTCGAGCCAAATGAGGTACGCAAACATTTTATTTCATTTGAATATGTAGAAGGGCCCAGGTATTTGTGGGTTCACTTGAACAAGAGAGGACTCTATTTGATGGACAATTCAGAAAGCAAATTGAGAAATAAAACACACATTTCTGATAATGCAGATAATCCAGTCAAGAAAAGGTATTAGTGAAAGTAAGTTCCATGGTTGCTTCGCATGTCAGAGCGTCATGAGTTAAAAGCCCATATACTCTGTAAAACTTATAATGTGCAGGTGAATTGACTATCTAGAATATTTCCAGAATCCTGTCTGTCTATGGTAATCATGTCCCAAATTTCCAAGTGTAGACATACACAGTCTGTGACCCTGATGGACCCGCAATACTGTGGGCTGTAGGTCTGTATAAATGTCCTTACATCCATGTGTAAATGCTAATTTCTCTACTGCATGTGACTGCCAATAGTTTTTTGAAGTAACAAGCAACCTGAGCTATTAAGACATTGTTACCAATTTACCCATATATTTACTTGCTCATCAGAATTTTTCTCATTTTTAAGATTCACATAAAAATAAAAAACATACCTCAGCCCAGAATTCTGCATATATGTCATTTGCCGTCAATTGTGTCACCGGCCATAGTTTTGTTACAGAACAAAGATCACAGGCAGTCATCATCAAACCAATGACACGATCTCTAGAACACAGTAAAATAAATCTGGTTAGTGTGGCATTTGCTCTCTTATAATACAGGCTACAAAGACTTCTGCATTTTCAGAAATAAGTCTCCAAGTAGGCATTCCTTGACAACCGGGAAGGGAGTATTGAAGGTACAACCCGCAATCAGAGATGTAAGTGGAATTCAAGATTAGTGTTGCTTAAGTTGGAGGGACGTCGTGTCACCTCTGTTCACCGTGTGCCCCTGCTGCCTTGGTATCACTGTGGCAATCGAACACCATGTAGACATGCTCTGTGCCACCTAAGTCCTCTGGTGCGCTTCCACAGCTGTGGATCGGATTTTCACTTTCAGGGAATTCTGGAAATGTACAGGGTGAAGATATCTTGAAGAAAAAAATCTATCCCAATCCTTTTGTTCATATAAGAAAACCGTGAGGTGCAGAGCAATGAAGTGACCTCCCCAGAGTGCACAGCTAAAGACGAGGCCAGAGCAGACTCAGGTCCTCAGCACACTCTCTGCCCTCCAAGCGTGGAGAACGGGTGTGACGGGAGCTCCCTCCAAACTCTTTGCAAACTCTAACCTCCAAATGCAATGAGTTCTCCTTTCCAGGTGCTTTGCATTCACATTTTGACTTCTTTTCTCTAAACATGGTTTGGTTTAATCTCTCCTCTTGAAGAACAAGAAATAACTGCTTGAAGACTTCAAAAGGACATACCCCTACAACTTTAATGGATTTGGTCTAGTGACAGGTGGTTGTCCTAAACAAAATCTATGCCTAATGGTAGCACTAACTGCTATTTAGTAAGGAATTTTAACTGAGTTTAACTTTTAGGAAGCAAATTACATAATTTAAAAGGCAAATTCTCAAGAAAGACACACAACTGCCACAAGTGAGATGTCACCGTTCCTAGCTAATATGAGCATTCTAAGGAGTTTCAGGAATCTGATACTGCCAAAGGCTGCCTTACTTCTTGTAGCTGCACAATGGTCCCCATCAGTGGCTACGGTGCCCCACCCCTGGATCCTGAGCCTGTCCTGACCATGGCAGATGGCATATTATAAGAACACCTATCCAAACTTTGACAGGGTTTCTGATTTAGTGGCACTCCCGCACGGAGATGCCCGGATATCTGGGAGACCCTGCTTGGTCTGTTGCCTGTGTCATGGACGCTGATCACTTGCAAGGCTCCTTTATTTCCCATCAGCCCACTTCCTTTAGGCCATTTGCCTAATAAACGATCTCTTCTACTACCTTACTTTTCTTAAGAACACGTCTCTATCAGGGCAGAGGAAATAACTAAAAATGTTGATGAGACGTCTGTGTATCCATTCTGTGACCCCCAACAGATGCCGTGTGAAGGTTCAAACCTCTTAACACGATCAGGATATTCTGTATTTTCCTGATGAGGGAGTTTCCTAAGCACTTGGTGGTTTAAAGGAAGAATATTTCTGGATTTGGGCTTCTAAAAGAACAACTTTATTATCTGTTTATTCAACAGGTAAATTCATTAAACAGAAATGGAACATAAAATAAAACTAACTCTATTTCATAAGATTGAAATAATCCAATCTCATTTAAACTATACACACATATATATCCCAACATTTACTTCTGTTGGCTGAACATTCTAATATGCTTTATCTCAAAAAAGATTTCTTATCTTGTAAATCCATGAAACAAGAAATGTTAATAGAACTGGGCACTGCAAGATGCAAGGAACCAATTCTCTCCCTGTATGAGACTTCCCAGGTAAGGTGGTTCCTCTCAGGGTTGAAAAGATTATGACCCAGTTGTCATTCAGATTTCACTGTCAAAATTACTTAGACAAAACAATTCAATAGTAATTATTTACTGGTAACCAAAAAAGAAAAATAAGATGAAGTTTTTATTAAATACCTTTAATAAATTACTTATTTTTTACTTTCAGGGATAAATTAGTTAGATGGTTATGGTTGTCTGGAAATATAATGTAAATTGGAATCATTTCGTTTCTTTCCATGGATGTAATATAGGCCTAACTGGGATAGATGCTTAATTCATCATGTATTCTAATAACCAACCATGAAAGGGATGGAGTTTAGGCTAACTATACTCTAGGTACAATCCTGTATAACCTATTCTGTAAAAATAACAGAGTCCAACACAATGCCTATGTTATAGATGATTCTTTGGTAATTAATTTCTGGGGGTTTGGCTACATTCACTTATTCCAAAAATTTCTGAAATGCCTCTATGTCTCAAGAACAGTTATAGTAATGAATCAAGTAGCCCTGTGCTTATAGAACTAACATTCTAATAGGGACAAGCAGAAAATAAGGTTAAAAAATTTCATTGAAAACGTTGGTAAAAATCATTGCGAAAGAGGCAAAATAATGAAGATCTGTGAGAAAGTCCCAGTAGAGATGAGTAGGTGTGAAAGTCCTGACGTGTCAGTAATGAGCATGGTGTGTCTGAGGACTAACAAGCAAGCCATCAGACAGTAGAGACTGTGAGCAGAGGAGCAACATGTTCATGCTTTAGAGAGATCTGGGTGGAGAATGACTTGTACAACTGTAGGGGCACGGGGGGAAGGGGAGAGATTCCATAGGAGACCACAGTGGTCCAGGGAAAGGAGGGCTCTGGATGTTGGGTAGAGCCAAGATGAAGCACATTAACATCTCCAAGAGTTATGGTGACAAAGCGCCCACCCCTTCTCTCCCTTCTCCTTTCCCTAATGCATAATCTCAGACCAGGCAGGGAAACCAAACACAGAGGATCTATCAGGATGTGCAGACATTGATATCTGAAAGTGAGCATCTCTCACCAGGAGATGAGAGATGTACTCATTTATCTTCTCAGAGCCACCCTATCTTAAAATTCTCCTCCCACATCAGAAGATCACAGAATCACAAAACCTTATAAAAGGAGAGGAAACCACACAATCTGCAGGATTTCAGGTGGGTTACTCTTCCATTATGCCTCCCACCCCCTGCCTACTCTCCACTGTCTATAGAAGTTGATCAGCCATAAAGACGATGTCCAAGTGGAAAAAAAAGTAGAAACACACGGCTGGAGCAGATGAGACATAAGTAACTTTATAAAAGATTTCAGGTAGAGATATGAAGATATACAAAGAGTTGAGTTCTCAGATGATTATTATCACAATTCCTCACTTGTGTCAATATCTAGAATTCAAAAAGAATGAATGACTGGCTCAGTTTCCACAGTGAACTCAAAACTGAAGACTCAGGACCTCTAATTCTCTACCCTCACTGTTCACTAGGCTCTGACCTCATTCTGGCCTCCTGAATAATGTGGCCCAGTTTTTAAACACAGTGACATTACCTACTCGAACACAAGCTGATAATCTTCAGCTAGGATCCCAACGTCAAACATTCACAAAGGCAGGGGCAGGCTGAAGGGAGGCCGAAGATGGGAAGCACATGCTGTATCCTTCCCCAGAAGCCCTGCGTAGCCAGGGACCCACAGGGACAAAGCAAGGGAGGCAAACACACCAACTCTTCTCTCCTCCCACCCTTTTATCTCTTGTCAGTGCCACCAGTCTCTGAATCTAGACAGAAGCTGGAGGGGGAGCAAGGGAGCTGGGTGAACTAGTCCCTAGAGGTCCAAGTGGAAAACGTGGTCAGTGAATCTGGAGGCCAAACTGAGGCCACCCAGATGACAGGAGTACCTCAGAGGAGAGAGCTAGAAAGCTGTCGTTCACAGTGGAAAACACGTTTGAAACGCAAACCACTTAAATATAAAATTATACCTCTTTAGTCATGTATCAACATGGCACAGAAATAGAAAAATGGGTTTAAGGTCAAAATTTCTACTAATCTAAGAAAATCAATTCCATTAGTGTTTGGGGACCCCAGGTTAAAGTGTCTGGATAGTCCAGCACAAAACTGTCATAGAAAATAGAAAAAAAGAAAAAGGAAAATAAATACATGCCTGCATATCTTAGAATGTTCATACACAAAATGCTAATCAATGACCAGGTTATTACAACTATGGCAGAGGTTGGGTAAACTGGGGTCCAGTGGGTAAATAAAGAATAAGTCTTTGGGGGATGTATTAGTGGACGTTTTGCTTAGAAACTACTATAGTCTTATTTTAACTCTTCTGTTTCATTTTAAAATCAGATCATACATAATATTTGAAAAGGGACTAGGTTAAATCATTTTCCCCTTAAATGACCATTTTAATGATTTTTTTCCTGTTTTAAGCTCATCTTCAAGGAATTTTAAATCACTGTATTATAGTTCTCTGATAAGACAGCCCATTGTGGCTATTTTTTAAACATTAAACCAGAATCAGGATATTATGGATTCTCTGAAAATATTATTTGAATAGCTGCAGAGCCAAAGCCATAGGAGAGATGTCAGACTCCTACTGTTTCCAATGACACAAATAATACAAATAACTCTTTGAAAGAGGCATAAGCATGGTGCAGTGATGATCTCACTAAAGTAAACTTTGAACTCAAGCTCTCAATTCTTCATTTTATAGAATCCTATGTTGCTTCTTCACAAAATAGCATGGAGAGAAAAATGAGTACATGCCAATGGAGAATCACTCGAGCAAATGTGTGTCACGGACTTGCTGCTATTAAAAATCATCCTAATTCAAAATTTATTTGCATAACAAAATCATGCATTGTCTTAGTTCTAGAATTGAGAGCCCTTACACAGCAACATGGGCTACTGTGTGTAACTTTGAATCAAGTTAGAACATTAGCAATTTCATGTTAGAACTTAGTTTCCCTACATTTCAAGCTCTTCAGATGAAACATAAAGCATAACTAGCAGAATGAGGCCCTCATGCATTTACTACGGCAGGTAGACAGAGATTCTTAATTTAAATAAAGGATGCACTTCTCTAGACATTAGGTGATTTCACTCTTGGCCAAAGTCCATCATTGACTTCCTCAGATGAATGTCATCTTTTCATGCTTTAGTATTATAATTCTAGGTGTAAAGAGAGAAGCCACTGTCTGTTGTTTACCAACTATCCAGTGGAGTCGTTATAATCGATA